TCACTTACACTATCGCTGAATCCTATGCCCGAACATCTAACACTTATTGAATCATCGGTTGATGAAGAAGACATGTCAAGCAAGACATTCAAGGCCTAAGAAGAAAAGAATATTAAGCTTAGAAATAAATAGCCGGGCAAGTATCAGCATATTTCAGGGGCCTTTTCCTGTCAATATACCAATACTTCCCCATGTAAGTTTGAAGACAATCTCCTTACCATGTCAACATCGTAGCCACATTGACCTGTAAAAAGAGAGACCTTCATGTCAATTAGTCGAACAATCAAGTATCATAGCACTTTCGGTATGTTATAACCCTTGGTAAAGATGAAGTACGAAGCAACTAGGGAGCAATACGTAATCCTATAACTATTGAGGATTATACAGAAGAAGAAAAACTCACACAGGACATCTCTAACAACAGCCATGCTAAGATCGCAATCATCTCCAAGCATTGAACTTAGAAACTGTTCAGCTTTCTCTCTATCCGCAGCTTTTTTGCCGTTCATACAAAGCTCTTTAGACCTTTCCATCAAAGCATACTCTTTTCGCACAGGGTTTGGCTTCATGTAATCCTTCCCAATCACAGAAGACACCATCCCTGTCGCAGCAATGACTCTATTCTGCTTGCTTCCCTTCAACCATCTATCTCTCGTCAGGTCTTCGCTGCAGCTAGAGCTTGAACCAGCCCCGTACTCAGACGTAGACCCGGTTTCCTGACCCGAAGACCCACTCATGACCGAACTCGTCGACGGATCATCGCTGCTTTCAACCAGATCCGACAAAATCAGGGCGGCTTTGTTCAAATCTCCGCCTGCCTCTTTATAAGCAACCGTCGCTTCCTCCATTGAAACCGAGCAAAAGGCCTCCATCAACGCCTCTATTACATTTTTTTCGATTTTCTCTAATCCCTTGTTTCCTTCACCGTCTTTCCTCTCTTCGTCCAAGTCTTTTTTGTTCCCGTCCGACGCCGTTCCATCACCGGAGGGTTTCGCGGCGCAGGATCGCTTCTTCTTCCTCTTCTGTTGGCTCTTGTGCTTCATTATCGCACGAAATACAAGATTAAAACCAAATCAACAACCTCCACAAAATCAATAGAGAGAAACTCTCTCTTCCGATCTCAGATCAGAACCTAATCCATAATTTTCCGACGGGAAGCGTCGGAGAAAGGGAAGAGGAAGTTTAATCGAAAAATCACGATTCAGGAGATCAAGCCGTAATGGAAGAAGAAGAAGATGCCAATATCAGAGGAAACGAATCCAATTTTCTTCCTCCAGATTTGTTTGAGAATAGGAATCGCCACGTCCCTCACTCACGCGCTCATTGGTGACCACGATCCATATTCACGCGCATATGAACCATATCTTATGCTCACATAACGAACACCGACCGGTTTCTTTTTTTCCGGTTTAACCTTGAACCAAATTAAAATTAGATTTCCCACGTTGGTTTAATTATCTCATCGAAACTTGTTTTGAATTGGACATTTTTATTTCAAGTTTGAAACTCAAACTTGCTACAGAAACTTTTTTGCGTTGGCAGCTACAAAGAGCGAGGAGTCATCGCGTTTATACACTAAATAGATTTCCAAAATTTGTATCAATGCGTAGAAGCTTACAAACTGAGAAGAGTGTTGTTAGTGAAAAGGATGGTTCAAGATTCGTATTCACAAGCACTGATCATCACTGGTCACACAGAGTGTCCATTGACCAATAAATCTGGTTGAAGTGGTGAGTCCGCGGAGGAATAGCACGGGAACCGAGCTGGAGTTAGACGCGCATGGAAATCGTTGTGGTCGCTGTTATGGGTGCTTGAGAGATTACATTGCTTCTTCCTTCTCTGTACCTCATCCTTAACCCTCTGCATTCCAAAGAAGAAGATAAAAACTCATACCGAATGCGTAAAAAAAGTGAATACAAGTATACAACCAATGAAAGCTATAAATCTTAGTGCAAACGCAAACACAAACACAATAGATATTCTAAACTGCAGAATGTTCACTTGCACTCACCATTCGGGGAAACAACCCAATTTCAACAGGTAGAAAATAATAGATACACATACATCAAGAGATCCCTACATTTGAATATTCTAGTGCATCACCGGTTTTCAATTAATGCTAAACCAGATTGTTCGGTTAATCGTCATCGAAAAAAACAGCAAGCAGCACTTATTCTGCACCTGCTGCTAGATTAGCTACAAGCGAAAACATGATTAGACTCTCTGCAGAATCCTAAAACATAAAAATGTGAAGACTTCACCAGATTTTCATATTGGAAGTTTGTCACATCAAATGAGACATTAGTTCTAATGCACTGGCTCTAAGTTTGGTTATTGATTGTAAACCACTAACATAGAATCTGGTACCAGTTCTTATCAGGACTATGATAAATACATACCAATCTGTTTAGAGCACTACCACCAGTTCTATAAACAAGAACAAACAAATACGACTTTACACATTTTCAAATCACTATCATCGGCTCTATCTCCATGCTACTGTCTTTTTGAATTTGCAATACTAACAATAGTCCTAATCTGCATAGTCATCTCTCACAACATGCAATTC